TGCACTCAGGAGTTACTTCCTGGCGGTGCTCAGGGGACCATATGGGATGCTGGGAATCGAACCCGGGTCGGCCGCGTGCAAGGCAAATGTCCTCCCCGCTATGCTATTGCTCCAGCCCCACAAACAGTATAGTTTTGATAACGATCTCTACATTTTTGTTCTGTTTCTGGACCACATGTGGTAATACTCAGGGAACCAAGTGGGGCGTGGGGTTGGGACAGGCGGTGGAGTTTGGCTGCAAGCTATGCGCATGACTTTACAATTTTTTGGTGGAGGGGTTATGGGCTACACATGGAGGAATAGGGCTTATTCCTGCTCCGAGATCACTCTTGCTAGTGCTTGATGGACCATATGCAGCACCTGGGATCAAATCAGGGTCAGCTGTGTGCAATCCCCTGGACAGGACTTTAAAATAGCAAAAGGGCAGAAGCCACAAAAGCATTAGTTAATCATAAATATCAACGAAGATAACAATAGGTCAAGATGGAAAGATAAGTAATTGTCCCAGGAAGTGAGTGAACAATGAATTTCGAAATCGGTACTATTTGTGGAAGGTTTTTTTTTTTGTAGTATGGGGATGGAATGTAGGGCCTCACACATGTGCACTCTCCTTACTCCCCCAAGAGGGAAGGTTGGGTTACACTTGGCAGTGCTCAGACTCAGATATGTGTTGGAGATCCAACAGGGGTTGGCAGGATGCAAGGACCTCAACCCCTGAAACTGACCTTCAAGTTGATCATTACACAATGAATTCTGAGTTCTTTGACTTGTAGTGCTCACCTTCAGAACTGCAAAGCTCTTCAGATGGCTCCAGGGGGCACTTCCTAGTCCCCTCCAGTTTCCGTACCCTTTACTTACTGCCACCCAGGCTACCACTGCTACTGTACCACAGTCATGCCAGATGGGCTACCAAGGGCTGGGGATGCGTGGGTGGTTTTGGGAGTTAGACACAAACCCCAGAGCTGGTTACAGAGCAAGGTCAAGTTAGGAAAAGTCCTTTATCACCTACATCCTGTGGTCAGATTTTTTTTGTTTTTGGGTCACCCCCAGTGGTGCACAGGACTTACTCCTAACTCTGTGCTCAGGGAGCACTACGAATCGGGCTGAGGGGACCATATGGGATGCCAGGGAATTGAACCCTTGTTGGCAGCATGCAAGGCAAGTGCCCTACTCACTGTGCTCTGGCCCTGAGTTTTATGATGTTTCGAAGTATTCTACAGACTAAACTATCACCTGGAACTAGAGTGATAGTACAGTGAGTAGGGTGTTTGCCTTGCATGTGGCCTACCTGGGTTCAATCACCGGCATCCCATATGGTGCCCAGAGCCTGCCAAAGTAGTTCCTGCGAACAGAACCAGGATTAACCGCTGAGCATCACTGTGTTGTCCCAAACTGAAAACAAACTTTATCGCCTACCCTTGATGGTCCCACTCTGCCCACCTTGACAAAGTAGAATGGCTGTGGAACACACTTTTTAGGGGATTACACTGGGGTCTGGCTCAAACCTTTGTCGGATTGAGAGTTGGCCTGAAGATAAAAGACACAAAAACACACACAACTCACACACTTCAGAGCCTTACTATTTTCAGAATGTACTTTATACAAAATAACGAGTTCATATGGAAATAAATCTACAGACCTCCAGGGATCAAAAAGCTTTTAAAAAAGTTCTTTTAAAAAATTACCCAATACACAATATCAAACTAACTATTGAGGTAAGTGTCGCTCTCAGTGAAACAAGGAATCAGCAGACCACGACAAAATATACAGAATATAAAAATAAATAGCATTCCCCTTTCCAGTACTGGCCAGCACAGTTCACACAGCTTCGCAGCAGGAACAGATCATCTGACCCTGTCCGGCAGGCGGGCGGGGTCTGGCCTGGGCTCCGAGGTGCCGAGTGCAAGGCCAGAGTGAGGTCAGCAAGTCGCAGCCAGGGCAAAGGACTCTACGGAGCAGGGGCAGCGCTCAGGGACCCGCTCAGTACCTGGGCTCTGCCGCTCCCCCCCTCCAGTCCCCCACCTTTTCAGCAACACACAGGGCAATCAGCTGGTGACGAGGTGTTTTTCACCTCAAGTTGGGTCAGTCCCTGAAGCAAAGAGGAGACTAGCAGGGAGACAGTTCCTCTCAGTCTATTTAGCAAAGACTTCCAGAGCGGAGTAAACACTGGCCTGGAGACAAAGCCAGAGTCAGTCTCATAATGACAGATCTGATATGAACCGCTACTCAGAGAGAAAGGAGGGCATGGCGCAGTGTCCGCTGGCCGCATGGGGGCAGAGCACAACCTCCAGAGGGAATAGAGGGAGACTCCTGTCTCAGGCGCCAAGTCTCAAACATTCTTATTTTCTGAACAGTGACGTGAGGGAATAGTGATGTGAGGGTAAGAATAGGCCAAAATTTCAAGTAGCCTCGATGAAGTGTTGAACAGAGAGGTCAGGAACACCACAGCCCAGAGATCCCCAAAGCAGAGAAGTTTTTGACTCACAAATACATGGTCAGATTTCCACAAGGGGATCCATCAGAATCCAGCAAGGGGTGAACAGACAGGCACAGAGGGACAATGATGAAAGAAATAGCTGAGCACTTCTTTAAAGACTCTGAAGACAGGCTGTCAGGATTCTGACATTATAGAATCAACCTTACCTGGACAGACCCTTCTGTGAAAATTTCTGAGCGGGTATTTTTTTGTTTTGCTATTGGGCTACATCTAGTGGTACCCAGGGGCTATTCCTGGCAGTACTTGGGGCACCATATGTGGCACCAGGGATTCAGAGTGGTATTCTCTCTCCATCCCTCAAACCGGGAATAAAGAGTACCATATTATTTACAGTGAACTAGTAGCACAGGTGACATTAGGATGCTTGTCTTGCTCATGGCTAACCCAAGTTCAGTCCCCAATACCCCACATGGCCCAAGTCTCTACTAGGAGTGATCCCTGAGCACAGAGCCAGGAATAGGCCCTGAGTACCCACTGAGTATTTGATATGCCAAAACCAGTAACAACAAGTCTCACGATTTGTTGTGAGACATTACTGGTGCCTGCTCGAGCAAATCGATGAACAGTAGGAGGACAGTGATACAGTGAGTGTAACCCTAAAACAAAACCAAAGACAGCACAGACTGCTGGATACTTGGTGTGTTCTGGATAGCATTTTGCACATCTTTGACTTCAGTATGAATGAGCATAACAACAGAGCAGATGAACATCACAGGACAAGGACAACGAAGGTCAGTGACAAAGACTTAAAGATAGGTCAAATGTGAACTGGGGGGGGGGTCAGCAAAATAGTAGAGAAGATGAGGTATTGGCCTTGCATGAAGTCAACCTGTTTGATTTCTGGCATCGCACATGGTTCCCAGAGCATTATAAGGGATCAGGACTGATTCCTGAGCAGAGTCAGGTAAGAGCCCTGAGCACAGCAGGATGTAACCCAAAATACAGAAATACAACAGGAAAGATAAACTGAGGAACACAAACTACAGGTCTTGAGAGTTTTCAATAAACAAATCCTGGAAGCTTTTGCCTTAAGAACAGTCAGACAGGCTGGCTGGCTGAGTTTAAGCGTTCACAGTAAGCTCACGTCTTATCAGAAGAACAACTGATCTTGTCAAGCAGAGATGATATGGCCGTTATAGTTTTATTTTTTTGGGCTACACTGGTGGTGCTTACTCCTAGCTCTGTGTTCAGGGATCACTCCTGGCAGGATCTGGGACCTCGACTTCCATAGGTGCTGGGACTGAACTCGGATTGGCTGCTGCAAGGCAAGTGCCATACCTGCTGTTCGATTTCTTTGGCCCGAGCACTTTTATTCTTAAAAAGTATGATGAATTGCAAATGTGAATTATTCTGTCCATACTCAATCTCCCCATGCATCTACCAATGTAAGTTTCAGCCGGGAGCTACTTTTAAAGCGAATAGATTCCGTGAGGGGGAAACAAAGAGGAAACCCTAAACCAGAAAGTCTCCAAAAAGATTCCACTTTTCTTTCTAGATCTTTATTTATTTCTCGGGATCTAGGCAAACAATTTCTAACTAACAACTCTAGCAATGGTTACCCATAACAATCAAACAGGCGTGAAAACATTGAACTGTCCTTGGATCTCGGTTGTCTCCTGGCAGAAACCAGAGACAAAGGGACAAAACAGCAGGAAACCACAGTGCCAAGTCCTAACCAAGAGCTGGTCTTTCAGGACCATCAGACATTCCACTTTCCAGCCATAATGTACCATGTCACGTACCATTCACTGATGAAGAAGATGAATGCATGTTACTTGCAGATGGAAACCAATTTGAGAGAGACCCTGAAGAGAAAGAGAAGGCCAGAAAACCCTGCTGGGGATGGGGGCTGTCGGGGGAGGGGTGGGTGGGTGAGACTCACAGAAGCTCTTCCAACCCTGCTGCTCGTGGCCGCTATTAGGAGATCTGTACGTCAAAGACAGAAAAAGCTCAGGCTATGCCAAAGGTTGAAGCGCTGGTACCAGAAAAGCATAACCCAATTCTGACACATGATACATGGCTGATGAAAAGTCATTTCCCGTGTTCACAGTGTTATTACACAGTAGTTCAGTTTCCTGTTATTCTTCCTTAATGTCTCCCTACATCCAGAGAAGAGAGAGTAAGGATAAAGGAATTTATTTCCCCTCCAATATTGTTCACAGCTTCTTTCTAGGGACAGGTAATTGAGAGTAAGGGGCTGGGAGTCAGGAGAAAAGGTTACTTCAAGCAGTGTTAATTCAATCCAGCTGTTCAAATGCCCCCAGGGCAAAAGGCAAGGGCACAAATGAGCCCAAGTATTGCTACGGTCTCCTCTTCCCCACGCCCCTGGGGCATACTCAGTGTAAGGCTTTAGCACCTGGGAAAGAGGCCCTGTTAGTCCCTCCTTGTTGGTGAGGAGGCAGAGGCTCAGGCTAGCTTGTTGAAAAGCCAAAGGTTGCCAGGAGCAGAATGCTCCAGGCCTTAAGCAGGTCGACCCAGCCCCAACCACAGGGGGGGACTGCTCGGTGTCTTCCTCCCTCCCTACTTTTACACAAACGTGAAACAGAAGCACTGAAGCCTCAATCACATCCGTTTGCACTAACTCTATGGCTGACAGAGCCCTAACCACAGGCCTACTTCTCTGTTCCTCCTGCGGGGATTTGGGTGACCTCTTTACTTTTTGCCAAGGACAGTTTTCTAGTAAGGAACAGGATCACAGAGAACACACCCTCAAAACTCAGTGCACTGAAGAGCACACCCAAATTTAAAATGAGAATATTTTAGAGAAAAGACCTGCGTCTTTGTGCGTCTGTTTTAGAGGCGCCTGTGTTCTCCACCAAACTCTCCATCCTGCCAGCTGCATGAACACCAGCACTGGTGGAAAAAGCATTATTCACTTACAAGGAATCATCGGGACCGAATGTCTTGGAACCTTCTGTATAACATTGTTTCCCTTCGCTTCTTTTAGCAAACTTTCAAAATAACAGACTGGCTAATCTCACAGCTGAGTTTATAAAAGATTCAGGGCAGATCAATATTTCATGGAAGCCTTTCTACTATCCAAAATGTATGGTTAAAAATCTTACAAAAACTTGTGACTTCAGGGCATTTTCCTCCCCTCCTTCCCTTTTTTCTTTAAGTTTAAAACATATAGGCCCTAACTTTGGTGGAGTCTCAGCTAAAATCATACAGAATGCTAACGAGGGAGAATCCAGTGTAATTCACTTCTAAAACTGTAATAAAGTAATTTAATACTGTAAAATTATTTCCTATCAGATATGACAAATGGTTTCCAAGAACTTTTCTTGATAGCTATTTTAAACCACCGTGACTTACATTACTATAATTCACTTAAAAGGAATAAAAACTATACTGGAATATTTCTAAATTCAAACTGTAAATCTATAGATACATTTTCCTATTCCAAACTGTGTGCAATTCCTTTATTGATACTAACATATACAAACCTGAGTAGTCGCTTCCACAAAATGTGATTCGTGCCAGAAAAGCCTTGTGCGATGCATTCCAGATCACAGACCTGGCAGGTCTGTGAAGAGGACGATGCATTTTCTCTTCTAATAAGCAGAATACTCTAGTGACTCCAATTTCTGGTACTGGTTTAGATCTATCTGATAGGTTGGTGGCAGAATCAGGAAGGGCTATGCTCTCTGAGATCCAGGATTTAATCCTGAGCAGCTTGCCTACTGAGCGGAATCTTCTGGTAGGTGGTAACTGTACTTTCCTGGGTAGACGGAAATGAAGGCCGCTAGCTTTTGAAGAATAGCTGGCCACTGACAAGCACAGTGACATTGTAAGATTACAAGGACACTGTAGGATGACCTCTTCTCCAGCTCCCCGAAGTACGCAGTGTGACATGATTGTAAACAGATACAGACCACTCCAGTGCTGTGTGCCCACCAGAGTTAGGATTTTCATCTCTACCATATTCCACCCACTTTCTCCTCTTTATGTACAATACATTCACCACCAACAACAAAAATTATTTTAAAGGCAACATGAAACTTCTGTAAACTGGACCCAGCTCTGAACACATTAATACTACAAGTAGTCCCTTCCCCACATATATACCTGAGTTTTTAGCTGCTCATGAAAGTTTAAAAGCACCACTCCATTCCTAGATATGTCCCTTTCCCCAAGTTTAGGATGAATTTCCCCTGAACGTGACTTGGACAAGTCATCACTAATTCCACTTCATTTGTTCTTGACTGTCTATCAGCTATGCTGACCCATCCTGACCCGGGACTTCCGCAAGCTTCGTTAGCCATTGAGGGAGTGCGCTTCTAGGGTTCCAGGAGTGGTTCCAGCAGCCGGATGACAGGATGTGCTGTGCTGTAGAGGCTGTGGTGGGTGGTGTGGTAGGAAGACCAAGGGGAGATCTTGCCCCACATTCTTCATATTCCAGTCTTCATGTGCAGCTTTCCATTTTATTGAGTCATTTCCTCCTAAGACTAACTCTGAGGAAAACAAAGACGATCATAAGAAAATTAGTGACTGTGTTGTCAAAAACAAAATAAATCAAGAAACGAATATATCCCTGTATAAATGGGAAGGTGGCTTGACTGAGTTTCCCTGTCGGTTGGCTTGTAAGGGATGGGGCCTCTGCTTTATTCATTCTTGTTGTAATTTAAATACCACATTCACAACAGTGTTAACATTTATTATTTTTTTGGTGGGGAGGGGCCATACTTGGTGATGCTCAGGGGTTACTCCTGGTTCTGCACTCAGGAATTACTCCTAACGGTGCTTGGGGGACCACATGGGATACAGGGAAGGCATGTGCTCTACCAACTGTGCTATCTCTCCAGCCCCAACATTTATGAATTTTTTTTTCTTTTTGGGTCACACCCGGCGATGCGCAGGGGTTACTCCTGGCTCTGCACTCAGGAGTTACTCCTGGCGGTGCTCAGGGGACCATATGGGATGCCGGGGATTGAACCCGGGTCGTCTGCGTGCAAGGCAAACGCCCTACCCGCTGTGCTATCTCTCCAGCCCCCAACATTTATGATTTTGAGGTACACAATTACTGCATCTAAATGTTGGATAACAATGGTTCATCCTTTCTCCTCCGCTGTAATTTTAGGTTTATTGAGTAACACTCTGGGCTGGAGTGATAGCACAGCGGTAGGGCATTTGCCATGCATGTGGCTGACCTGGCCAACCCGAGCTCGATTTCTGTGACCCTCTCAGAGAGCCCGGCAAGCTACCGGTGACTGATGTATTTGATATGCCAAACACAGTAACAACAAGTCTCACAATGGAGATATTACTGGGCCTGCTGAACAAGGAGGATAGTGCTAAAGTAACACCCATCACAATGCTCCCAAAGCACTCCCATTTCCTTCGTGTTTATCTTTGATTTCTCCTTTGTGCTCTGATTCCCTATCTGTTAATTGTTCTGTTCCCTATCAGACCCTGTGACTTGTCAAGTCAGATTCTTCTCAGGACTCTGGATTTTGTATATGTAAGTGAAATAAAACTTTTCTCTTTCCTTTATGTCCTTTGCAGTTTACTTTGTACAGACACAGGAAGGCAGTTAATAGTATGCTTTTGTAACTTGGGAGTTAACTGACCCTGAATCATATTTTCATGGGCATGTGTCATATTTACTTGACTTAAGCGTCAGCTGCCTTTAGTTCCTAACACCCCAAAAGGAGGGGCCAGTTAAGGTCTTGGATGGACCCAGGGCACGTCATAATCTACCCTGGCATCAAAAAGGGACAGACCAAGAGCCATTAAAACTTAACTTATAAGAGTATGGTCATGGTCAAACTCTGTCATGACCCAAAAAAAGAAGTAACTGGCTAAGGACCTTACTGGGGTTAGGAAGCACTGACTTGGCCTGAGGACTGGAGTCTGGGATAGATAGCGAGGTGTCCCTAGAAGAGTGACACTTTAAGTTTATATTAAGCTTATATATCTTGCTGTGCACATACAAAATGGCCAGTGGCTGATCTGGGTTCTGTCTCTGGCACCACATTTGGTCCTCCAAGCCTGCCAGGAGTGATCCCTGAGCACAGGGTCAGGAATAAGTTTATGCACAGCGAGAAATATTAGTAAGAAGTAAATTTAAGATGACCATTTAAATGGGTACTGACTAAGGAAAGGGGAAAGTAATATGCCCTTAAATGGAATTCCACCCTTGGGCGGATCTCCTAGCAAGATGAAGTTTTGTCCTAGAAGAAGCGTCCCCTGGAAGGAACGGTCACGGTCACGGTCTTCCCATTGTTCATCGATTTGCTCGAGCAGGCCCAGTAACATCTCCATCGTGAGACTTGTTGTTACTGTGTTTTGGCATATCGAGTACGTCACGGGTAGCTTGCCGGGCTCTCCTAGAGGGGCGGAGGAATCGAACTCGAGTCGGCCATGTTGGCTGCGTGCAAGGGAAACGCCCTACCGCTGTGCTATCGCTCCAGCCCCCTGGAAGGAAAGGCTTCACAAATATGTTGGTTATGCTACCACACCTGTGTGTATTTGCTACCCCCAACCCGTGATGACGGCTCTGTAACTAACACAGTGAGACTAGAATAAATGGAGACTGATTACAACCAGCCTGGCAGGCCAGGCCCTTCCTTATTTTGCCCTCTTAGCATCGTGCGCCCACACACTTTTTGAACTCACACCTCAGTACCACTAAAAAGTCTCCGACCTCCACTAATGGCTTTGCGTTATTTCTAGTTCACCCCCTTGGCAACCTCGATTCCGTAAATCAAGGCAGTCAAGGGTTTGTCACTGTTTATTATGTCCACAACAGTTGTTTTGTTTCTTTATATTATATCACGGGCTGGAGCGATAGCATAGCGGGTAGGGCATTTGCCTTGCACGCAGCTGACCCGGGGCAACTCGGGTTCGATTACTCCGCCCTTCTCGGAGAGCCTGGCAAGCTACCGAGAGGACTGCACCTGCATGGCAAAGCCTGGCAAGCTCCTCGTGACGTATTCGATATGCCAAAAACAGTAACAACAAGTCTCACAATGGAGACGTTACTGGTGCCCGCTCGAGCAAATCGGTGAACAATGGGAGGACAGTGCTATATATTATATATCACAGATGAGATTATCTGGTACTTGGTTTGATTTTTTTTATTTTGGACACAACCAGCTCAGGGCTGATTCCTGGCTCTTCGCTTAGGGATCAGTTCTGATAGGATTCAGGGGACCATAAGTGGTGCTGGGGAATCAAACCCAGGTCAATCATGTGCACGGCAAGCAACGTACCTGCTACTGCTAACTCGGCCCCCTCATCTGGCACTTAACTTCTCCCTCTGACTTTCTCCGCTGAACATAATACCACCTGTTCCCTCTCCCATCTGCCAGTTCCATCCAAGTTGCAACTTAAGTATATGATTCCACCTTTGCATAGTATTTCACTGTGTACACAGAACATGACTTCTTTATCTGTTGAACACTTGGGGTTATTTACATATCCTGACTATCATACTTAGTGTTGCAATGAACATGGGTATGCAGATCTTTCTGAAACAGAATCTGCTTGTTTGCTTTTGGGGGAGGAGACCAGCCATACCTGGAGATCTTCAGAGCTTGCTCCTGGCTCTGCACTCAGGGATCACTCCTAACAAGGCTTGAGGAGGCCACCCTTTGACTCTATTTTTTTGGGACCACATCCAGTGATGCTCAGGGGTTACTCCTGGCTCTGTACTCAGGAATTACTTCTGGCAGTGCTCAAAAGATCAATGGGATGCCAGGGATCAAACCCGGGTTGACAGTGTGCAAGGCAAATGCCTACTCATGGTGTTCTCTCTGGACCTGGGGCCCCTTGACTCTTAAGTTGTAATACTACCCCAGTCTACCTATTTTTGTTAAAACGGAGATCGCAAAATAAAAACAAAAACAGGAGAGCTTGGGGGATCAAACCATCAAATCAGGGATTGAGCATGTGCTCGCTCTATCTACCATATACCTCCAGTCTCTCAGGGCCTTTTTCCCTTGATCTTTTCTGCTGCTAGGTCACTAAAAGCACAGAGGCTGGACCTGTTCATTTCGCCTGATCTCCTAAGAAGTACTTTCCAGTTCCGTTAACTCTTTTTCCAGACTTCAGTAAAGTCATCATCATTTACCTACATTCTACTTTTTGGGTTTCTGGGCTATACCAAGTACTGCTCAGTTCTGTGCACTGAACCTGAGTTTTCAGTCTACTGAGCCGAATATTTATAATATCTTACCTGATCCAGAGGAATTGTTGGGGGTTTCGGTGGGGGTAGGTCCTCCTGTGATGCTGCTGGTGCTGGAGTCTTTGGGAACGAGGACTGTGACAGGGCTGACTGAAGCTGCACCCTGGAGGGACAAACAGGGAAGTGCTAACAAAGTTATAATTTGCAAAGGAAAATATGACACTCTTATCATGAAGCACTCACATGATCACAAGTAAAATCACCAGTTACGTGATATCATGTGCTTCCTGGTGTGACGACGCAAGCATAGTTCCTCATCTGATTCTAAACGTACGGGGAAAATAAATTCATAAAACTTTGGGGCACTTTACATGAAAATTGAGCCTCTCCTCCTCCTTCCCCATTTTGAATTTTTGGACCACACATAGCTTTGCTCAGGTCTTACTCCTAGCTCTGTGCTCCAGGATAACTCCTGGCAGGCTTAGGGGACCATATGGGGTCCCAGGTGTGGACTTGCGTCAATGCCTTATCCGCTGTATTATCACAGTCCTTGTTTTAATTCTGGACCAATCTGGTTTTTTCATCCAACACAAGATGAAAAAAAGAGAGACCTTAACTACTACACATGATCTCCCATTGCAAGACACCTATTTTACTCTAGTCTGAGACGATGAACTTGGCAGTAACGCTGACAACAGTTTCTGCCTGCTTGAGTTGCTGCTACCCAGTTTCTAATATTAACATCTACACAGTCAGGGTTGGAGCGATAGTACAGCGGGTAGGACACTTGCCCTGCATGTGGTCAACTCAGGTTCAATGGCCAGCATCCCATATGGTGCCCTGAAAGGTGAACACCCCCCAATACTCCCAATCTGAATAGTCACTTAAGTGTCAAGTCACTTTCATGAAGGGGGGAAACTGCCAAAGGTAAAAACTGGACTCTCAGGTCAAAATATTTTTTGGTTTGATTTTGAACAATGACTTTTTTACAATGACTTTCACATCAACAATTTACGAGAAGAAGCCCAGCACAGAGTATAGGGCCTTGTATGTGGCCAACTGGGGGGACCCTGGCGGCAGTCAGGGGTAAGCCCTGAGCACTGCCAGGAGTGTCCCCCAAACAAAACAAATTTACACATTTTTTCTTGGTCCTAGATCACCAGGATATACTCATTTTTAGGATCATTTGCATTCCAAGTCAACGTCTATTCTCGTGTGTGTGTGTGTGAGAGAGAGAGAGAGAAAAAGAGGAGAGAGAGAGACAGAGAAAGAGCGAGAGAGTGCAAGAGAGCTCTAGTCCTTTGAGCCACTTCCCAAATCACATTGCAATTACTGAAAAAAAAAAAAAAAGCAAAAAACTCAATCTCAGAGGATTTCAATGGACATTTTTCCAAGTAAGACACTAGACGGTCAAGAGGCATGTGAAAAGATGTCCAACATTGCTTGCTATTGCTGAAATGCAAATCAAACTATCAACTCACACTTGGGATTTGGAGCAATAGTATAGTAGTAGGTCAGCCTTGCATGTGGCTGACCAAGATTTGAACCCCAGGATCCCATATGGCCCCCTGAAGACACCAGGAGTGATTCCTGAGCAAGAGCTAGGAGTAAGTTCCGAGTACTGCTGGGTATGACTCAAAAAGCAAAGCAAACCAAAAGAAAACCAAACCACCTGTGAGAATGGCTTTATCAAAAAACTTTGATAAAGTTCAAAAAAAGTTTTGGTGAAAAACACAATACAGAAAAGTCATCTGCACTTCCATGTTCATTTCAGCACTATTCACAACAGCCAGAATCTGGAAACAACCTGAGTGCCCAAGAATCTGGAAACAACTTGAATCATCTGTTGACTGGACAAAGAAACTATAGCACATCTGCATATTCAATATTATGCAGCTACCAGGAAAAGTGAAATCATTAAATTTGCTTACAAATGGATGGATATGGAGAGTTTCATACTAAGAGAAATGGTCAAAGAGAGACGGAAAGACATGGACTGATTGTACTCATTTGTGGGATAAAACAAAACAACAACAAAAAACAAACAAAAAAACATCAGTATGAGACTAATACTCAAGGATAGTAGAAATAAAGCCAAGATAAATGCTTCATGGTTGGAAGCTTGGTACAAGCTTGGGGCGGGAAGGGCAGTTAGGACAGAGAAGGGACCACTATGGCAACGATAATTGGAACTGATCACTCGGGACAAGAACTGCGTGCTAGGGCTGGAGCAATAGCACGGCGGGTAGGGCGTTTGCCTTGCACGCGGCCGACCCGGGTTCGATTCCCAGCATCCCATATGGTCCCCCGAGCACTGCCAGGGGTAATTCCTGAGTGCAGAGCCAGGAGTAACCCCTGTACACCGCCAGGTATGACCCAAAAAGGAAAAAAAAAAAAAGAACTGCGTGCTAAAAGGAGGTACGGTACATGATAACCTTTCCAATACCTGTACTGCAAACCATAATGTCCCAAAGGAAAGTGGGTGTGCAGAGTATTTGTCACAGAGGCAGGCAGGGGGAAATGTACAGTGGTGAAGGGACTAGTGTTGGAGCACTGTGTGACTAAAACCCAGTCACATGCAACTTAGTAACTGTGTATCAGAGGTGATTCAATAAAAAAAGTCTTGGTGAGGGCATGGAGAAAAGGGAACCCTCATGATCAGTTGAACTGGTATAGACACTGTAAAAACTAATTATGGAGATTCCTTTAAAAATCAGGAACAGAAATACTATGGTAATTTCCCTTCTGAGCATTTACTGGAATAATACGAAAACATTATGTCCAAGAGATTTGTGCATCTTGAGGTTCACTGCAGTATTATTCATAATAACCAATAATTGGAAATGACCTATATGGCATAGACGGCCGAGAGGCTAAAGATGTAGTAGAGATGCCAAATGGATTACTACTTGCTTATATGAAAAAATATAAAGACAGCTGTTTCGCTCATATTTGGTACATAAACAAGTGGACAAACAAACAAACCAAAGAACCCCTTTGAGATAGGGGCTGGAGCGACAGCACAGCGGGTAGGGCGTTTGCCTTGCACGCGGCCGACCTGGGTTCGATTCCCAGCATCCCATATGGTCCCCTGAGCACCGCCAGGAGTAACTCCTGAGTGCAGAGCCAGGAGTAACCCCTGTGCATCGCCAGGTGTGACCCCCCCCCCCCAAAAAAAAGACTGTAACAATAGAATTGTTATTACCAGAGGGGAATGGGTGAAACTGGGTAAAAGTGGTCAACTGCATGGTGATGGACAGGATGTAGGCAATTATTTTCTCTTTTCATTCTGGAGCCACAGTCAGCTGTGCTCAGGGGCCCACGTGGTGCCAGGGACTGAACCCAGACCTCCTGTATACCAAGTAGGCGCTCTCTCCCGTTGAGCTATCTCGCCAGCCCTAGAAACCAGACTTCTAGTGGCTAGCATAACAACACACGTATGCAGATGTTGACTCTAAACCGGGGCACCTGGACCTGTATGTTACGAGCCAATGTCACTTCAACTGAACAAAGGAACAAAGCAACAACCCAATCTAATGCCATCTTACCCCGACGGTCTGTACACTTCTTGGAAAGGTGCCCTTATTCCACTTCCAGTGCCAACTTGTTCCATCATTACTGCTTGAAAGTGGCCCAGGCCTTCTTCCTGGCAACGATAGATGGGGCCCTCCTGAGAGAGGCCATTGGGCTGGGGAGCCACTGGATGATGAGGTGGATGAACAGCGACAGGGGACGAGTAGGCCGCGGGCTGAAAATGACCAGCTGACCGCTGCGGTGTATATGGAGGCCCCGTTTGTAGCATCACGCCGTGGGGCAGGAAAGGGGAAGAACCGAACCCCATGCCTGAACTCAGAGGTGGAGGATGAGTTCCGTAAAGATATTCACTCGTCGCCAGCGAACTCTGTCGCTTGGTAGCTGCGTTATGGTTGTCCAGGTCTAGAAATTCTTTGGGACTCTCTGGCCTCTCCATCGATTCATCCAGCTTCTCTTCCTCTGGACCGGGATTCTGCCCATCAGCTGGGACCAACTTAGTAGCCGCCACATCCATTCGGCTTGGGGAAGTTAAGGCAGCATTCAGTGTCTCACAGCCTTGTAGATTAGCCATGGAGTTCTTATCTGGGAAGAGGGGCCTTGGAGGGGGAGGCTGAGTAGGAGGTGGCCCACCTGGGCTCCCTGGGGGGTGGAGATGTCTCTGCCAGTCAGAAAAGCCCCGTGGACACGTGTAGTAAGGAGTTCGCTGGTAGTGATGGTAGGAGTGCTGAGGGGGTGGTTGATAGGAGTACCTCAGTCCTTGGTGAGGGCGATACCGGGGAAAGACTCCAGTGTGAGGGTTGTTCGACTGAAAGCCCCTCGGGGTAAAATGTGGAGGATGTGATACTGAGGCTTTACCTCCCACAACGGTACCCAAACCTTGTAGGCCTGGATTGAGATGGTAATGTGCGGCTGAATTTGGGTATTCCAGGCCAGGCATATACAAGGGAGAAAACTGGCCGACGGTACCTCCCATCAAATTGGTGTCTGTATTGGGAGGAGTCGTGGGGTTCTGTCCCGTGGCCGGCATGGTCTCCTGCAATGTTTTACCCCTGGGGCACAGTGGTTTTTCTGAACCACTGTTCCCAAGGCCTTTTGCCTCAGACCCACAAGGGGCGGATTCGACAATGGCTCCATTTTCAGGTAGAGACCCTCTATCTGCCAGGGTGGAGAGGTCTCTCATACATTCTTGGGCTGCTGGGCTGGAGTAACTGCCCTCCGAGGGCCAGGCATTCTTGCCCTTTGTTGCTTTACAGTTGTCTCCAGATTCCGAGGAGTCGCTTTTGAGCTCTGGAGCCTCTGTTTCCCTTTCTTGCGGCGATCTCTGCCTGGTACAGCCAGTTTGCAGAGGAGGCACAGGGTGAGGTAGCTGTTTGAGGTACACCTCCTCTGAAGCACCAACACTTGGTGGCTTTTCCTGAAGTCCAGGCAAAGAATCTGTAGGGAACAAAAGTTAGAACAAAATAGCAATTCAGTCACGGCAATGATGGTTTCAGCTGAAGTGGCAATGAAAACAGGAACTAACTCAGGACTTGCAGGAAGGTTCTGTGGTTTGGTTCCCAGCATATGGTCGCTCAAGTCTCAAGCTAAACATGTTGGGGTCCTTCGCAGGTTATAAAATTGGCCCCTGTTTGTTCTCTTTCAAGACATGGAGACGTTCTTGCTAACAGGCTCCAAACGTGGAATACGTCAGTAGGTATGGTCAATACTGTGAACGAAATAGGGACTCAACCAGAATTTGTGCATGAATGAAAACACTCACTTGGACACCTTGGACAGGGGCTAAAATACTTGCCTTGTTTAAGGCTGACACCGGTTTGATCTTGGGCAGCACACGGTTGCCTGAGAGCCAGTAGGAGTAAGCCCTGAGTACAAGGAGTTGAGAGTAGCCTGGAGCACCATAGGGTATGAGCAAAACCCCAACCCCTGTACTCTGCAAAGAAAAAAAACCCCTAACCTACCAAAACACAAGAAAACTAGATGTTGGGTGGAGGCCTGGGTTTGATCCCTGGCACCAAATGACACCAAAAGTCAAGATGTCTACAGCTGAAAATGTAAGAGGCAAGAGACTAAAATAATAGTACAGTGGGTAGGGCACTTGCCTTGAAAGTGGCCGACCTGGGTTTGATCTCTGGTACCCATATGGTTCCCTGAGAACCTCCTGGAATAATTCCTAAGTGCAGAGCCAGGAGTAATCCCTGAACATTGCTGGGTGTGATCTCCCCTCCTACCCACCCCCAGTCCCCTGAAAGGGGCTGGAGAGATAGTACAGCGGGTAGGGAGCTTGCCTTGCACACAGCTGACCGAGTTCTATCCCTGGCATTCCAGGCCCCCTGAGCACCTGGAGGAATAAATCCTGAGCACAGAGCCAGGAGTAATCGTAATCCCCGACTATTACCAGGTATAGTATACCCCCTTCCCAAATTAAAAGGCATCCAACACATTACAGAAACACAATAACTCGATCAATCAAGCAACACTCAACTTAAATGCAATGGAATGGGGAGAGCAAAGAACACAGGTTTGTGCTACACCCGGTGGTATTCAGGAGACTCTTCCTAGCTCTGTGCTCAGGACTGACCCTTGGTACTGTTTGTGACTTGAAGCATGAAATTAGCTGTACTTTGCAAGGCAAGTACCTCAATCCCTGTTCTATAATATCACTCCAGTCTACAGATTTTTTTTTTTTGGTCTTGAACCACAACTTACAGTCCTCCAGGATTACCACACAACCCTGTGGTGTTGGTGCTAGGGAACAAAGCTGGGGCTCCTGAATGCAAAACTTGTGTATCCACCTTTGAACTTTTTTTCCATTTTGGCTCCACAACGCACAACCCACAACCCTGCAGCTGTTACTAACTCATAAATGTAGCCTCTTATTTTTTTTTTCTTTTTGGGTCACACCCAGCGATGCACAGGGGTTACTCCTGGCTCTGCACTCAGGAATTACCCCTGGCGGTGCTCAGGGGACCATATGGGATGCTGGGAATCGAACCCAGGTCGGTCGCGTGCAAGGCAAACGCCCTACCCGCTGTGCTATTGCTCCAGCCCTTGTAGCCTCTTATTGAGCTAAGTTGTCAAAATAGGGGGAAAATTCTGGCATCTGATCTAGAAGACAAGTAGAATTCACAATTTTTAGGTGGGGAAAATAGCTCCAAGGGTTGGAGCACATGCTTTACATGGGGAAACCCAAGATCCTGGCTGTCTGATCTCTGAGCACCACAAGGTGTAGACAAAATACCATAGCAATGTGGCTGGAGAGATGCTTCAACAGGTTCAATGTATGGCTTGCGCACAGGAGGGCCAAACTGGATGCCCAGTGCCACCATCATCCCCAAACACTTCGGGGGTGACCCATAGCTTGAGTAGCCAGCCCTTCTGAGCACCACATGGGTGTGGTCCCAAGCCCTTAGACAACCACCACCACCACCACCACCACAACACATCCCAACGAAAACATTCACTTTATTGAGGGGTGTGCACCCTGATCCTCTTATGCATCTTCAAACTGTATCACATCCTTAATCAAAGATCACCACTTTCAGGGTCAGGTAGGAAACTCAACTGATTGGGAATGCGTACTTGGCCTGTAGGAGGCCCAGGCTCAATCCCAAGCACTATATGATCCCCAAGCATTGGTGGGAAGTAACCTTGAGCACTCAGCCAAGGAGTAGTCCTTGAAGCCTGCCAAGTGTGGTCAAAAATGGAAAAGAAAAAAAAAACCTACTTTTGAAGTTTCAACTAGAATATATATCAACTAATAAGGGCTATCAAAACTCACTGTCTTTGCACAGAGGTAGGAATATAGGTCAAGTGTTGGAATATATGCCTAGTATTCATGAGACACGGATCTAATCTGTGTCACCCCACATATCTTTCTAAACACTGATGGGTGTGACAACTAGTAATAATCGAGCACGGCCGAGTCCTTGGATACTATACAGAAGAGGATCCCAGGTCCCCTAACAACATCTGAGAATCTTTCTTTGCCTAAAACACACACACACACACACACACACACACACACACACACACACAAAGAGTGAGTACAGAGAGGTTGACAGGGCACTTGCCTTTCAACAGCTGACTTGGATTTAATCCCCCCAGCCCTGCCAGGAGGAGTCCTGAGCACTGTTTGGTATGGCCCAAAACAACAATAATAACAAAAATGATGATGATGGATGCTGAAACAATTCTGGGCTTAAATCTCAGTTCTACACCTAGAGAAAGACTACGTTTGTGTTTTGGATCTCTCCACCTATAAATGCAATCTAACAGGAGCAATCTCAAAACCATGTTCAGAAGATTGAATGTTAACTTACATACAAACTCAAAAAAATTGCCTAGCACACTAAAGACTTTAATTGTAATGATTATCATCACTAGAAATTCCTTTAGGGTCCTTGGACTAAGAATCGCAGTGTGATTGAAACAGTTTGTAGCCGTCCAAGAAAAAAGGTTGGAAACCAGATTAAATTGGTTTCACATTGTGGGTCAAAGGTTCATCCTGGAAAGAGTTTAAAGAGATAAAAAGTTGTGGCATCAGCTCCCAGAGAATGCTCCAGGTCCCAAACAGAGCCGAGATCACTGGGAAGTCCCAGATGGGGTAGGTGCCGCATCCTGCCTTCTCCAGATGGAACCCTGGTGACCATGAGCCTCTACAAGCATAGCTCAGGCATGCGGGAACCAGGATTTTTATTCCAAACCTCGCGGCCGCATAAGTGGCCGCGCGACATCTCCTTATATACAAAGTGATCAGGCCCTCCCGTTGATCGTCGATTTGCTCGAGCGGGCCCAGTAACGTCTCCATTGGAGACTTTGTTGTTACTGTGTCTGGCATATCGAATACTCTCGGTAGCTTGCCGGGCTCTCCGAGAGGGGCGGAGGAATCGAACTCGGGTCGGCCATGTTGGCCGCTTGTAAGGCAAACACCCTACCCGCAAAGTGATCAATGGAAAGTAAATCATCCAATGTTTCTCCCTGAAAATCAGGCTTAACTCTTTTACAAACCACAACACCCAATAGGAGAGAGAGAACAAAAGGGAATGCCCTGCCACAGAGGCAGGGTGGGATGGGAGGGATGGATGGTGGGAGGGATACTGGGATCCGTGGTGGTGGAAAATGGTCACTGGTGGAGGAATGGGTATTCAAAATAAATAAATAGAATAAACAAAAGTTGTGGCGTGAATTACCTCTGTCACTCTCAGGCTCGTGTGTCTCACTGTTGTCCGGTGCCATCCCAGGGTTCCCCAAGGTAGGCTTGGGGGCTGACACACTTGCAGATGTGGAGGGGGCCACTTGTGGGAAGGCGCCCGCGAGCTGGCGGGGCTGGTAAGGCACTCCTGGCGGGCAGACTCGGGAAGACAGCTGCTGCATGGCGATCATCTCTGGGCTGTCCATCATGGAGTCCCCTCCCTGGACGCCCTGCAGAGCCTGGGTGGGTGCTCCAAAGAGCGAAGTTGGTGCTGGGGTGGGCGGCTGTGACCGATGTCCTCCAGACTTACAGGGTGGTCGCATATACCCGGAAGGAACTCCATGAGGTAGAAAGCTTGATTGTTCAGTCCACTGGTTCGATGGGAGAGGTGGTCTAATCACGCGAGAATCCATAATGTGACCAAGAGTACGGGGCTGGTGCGAGGGTCCGAGCCCCATGGGGGTCTTGTCTTCCGGCACCAAGGAGCCAGGGTTGGCAGCACCATGGCACCCATTCCAGACAGCAGAGTGTACTCGGTTCAGGTATTTATACGATCGGTACATGTGACTGGGAGGAATTTCTGGGCTTTCTGGAAAGTCAGGGGCTCGGGCTGGAGCCCCGCTGTGTCTGGGCGGAATAAATCCTGGCTGGAATTGAGCTGGGGGATAGATGTTTCCATCTGGGGCGGGGCCAATCATCTGCCCAAGCTGCAAGGAGCCAGGATGGGAGCCCACGTTAGAAAGGTGAGCCAATCCCCCACGTACTTGCTTCTCTTCAGGTGTGCCTAGCTTGGGTCCTCGGTGGTTGTTGATTCCAACTGGGGGCTGGCAAGAAAAAAGGCAACGCACTTCATCAGACCTTGTAACGTGCTTAATTTAGAGTAATAAACACACCTGAGTAATCTGAGGAGGTTTCTTACCTGCATGGCAAAAGGCTGGTGCTGCTGTAGAGGCTCTCCAGGGTGTGGTTCTGGGACTCTGGAGGAGACATACAAACTGGCAGAATCCGACCCCCGAAGAGGGCCAAATGTTCCTGGGACTGCTGGTCTCTAGAGGGTTTTGAACAAAGGCCAGGAGAGAGGAGAGAGGAGATAAGGGAGGGAGAGACAGCAACATATTAGGAAGAAAATAAGGACTTTTCCTGAAGATGAACATACTGATTAAGAAACAATCAAATCAGCACAGTGAGCATCAAGACACAGATAACTGCCAGCACACTGGACCAGAGTCCAGAATAAATTTCCTTCAGAGAGTTTAGATGGGCATTTTTCTTTTTCCCTACTGGCCCTTCTCCCCAGGAGTCTTTTTTCTTGGTTTTGGGCAATGCTCAGAGGAATCATATGGGTCGGCCACACGCAAAGCAAGCATCCTACCTACTGTACTGTTTTTCCAGCCCCCACCACCAAGTCCTTTTAAGTCATTTTCACCCCCATCATTAAATTATAATACTATAGCTCCAGCCGGATAGCACAGCCGTAGGGCGTTTGCCTTGCAAGCCGCCGGCCTGGCCGAGCCGGGTTTGATTCCTCCGCCCCTCTCGGAGAGCCCGGCAAGCTCCCCGTGACATAGTCGATATGCCAAACACAGTAACAACAAGTCTCACAATGGAGATGTTACTGGGCCCGCTCGAGCGAACCGATGAACAACGGGAGGACAGTGCTACAGTGCTACCAGAGCTATGCTGTACACCTGACGTATTATATATTTTTGTGCTATCTACATTTTTTTTGATTTGACCATATCGGACATTGCTCAGGGCTTACTCCTAACTCTGCCCTCATGAATAACTTCTGGTGGTGCCTGGGAGACAATATGGGGTTTCAGAGATCAAACCTGCATGGGCTGCGTGAAAGGCAAGTGCCCGATCAACTATCCTATCTCTCTAGTCCTATACACAAGAAGATTTAATCCCAGTTTCTGTCTGCATTGAGATAAAGAAAGAATACTGGAAGAATAGATGAGGAGGAAGAAATCATATATATACAAAAAAATCATTCTGGAAGCAGAGCCAATTGAAATCAGATAGCTCAATGCACTGAGCACATACGCTGCACAGTCCCCTGAGCACTGAGAGGAGTGAGCCAGAAGCAAATGACAAAACAGAATCTAAGTCATTGCCTACCATCTGGTTTAAGACGGGTGCCTGGTTGGGCATCCCACCATAATGTGGGGGACGGGAGAAGCCTCGGCCATTAGAAGCGCCCACTTCCCGAGGGAGCTGGGTCCAAGTGCCACTCTGATCATCCCCAGAAGAGGAAGCTCGGCGTGCCGGTGGCAAAGATTTCCCTCCATTCTCCACGGGCTGCTGCTTCCTGCTTGGCCCTTCAGAGTCCTTAGAGCGGGTCCAAACCTGAGTTCCCCCACTTCGCCCAGCACGGTTCCGTTTCTTCTCCCGCTTTTCGTCTTCTCTGACCCAAAATTCTTCATCTGTGTCTCCATCCTCACCAGGAAAATGCTTCATCATAGCTCGATGGAAACACCTTTCCAAATTATCAGACATCTTGGTATATTCTGCAGGAAAATAATATGATTCAATGCCAAACATAACTATTTAGGGCACAAAAGGCAATTCTACTACTAAACAGTAACAGATGATACTGGGGTAAACGGAGTTTAACTAAACGATATGTTACAATAAACATATTATAAAAAGACACTGCAAATACCAGATCACTGCATTTGCCTGTAAAAAAATTAAAAAAAAATTTGGGGGGGTTGTTTTTGGGCCTTCCCTGGTGATGCTCAGGTTAACTTTGGGCTCTGCACTCAATAAACACCCCTTGTGGGCTAGGGGTACCACATGGGGGCCAGGGATAGAACCTGGGTGGGTTGTATAAAAGCAAGTGCCTTACCCACTGCACTTTCTGGTCACAGTAAAAAACGTTTTAAGGAGCCGGAGACAAAGCTCAATGAACTGTGCACATGCTTTGGATGCAGAAGGTGTAGGTTTGAGGCCCACACATAGAAAAGTCCGTGAGCACTGCCAGAAGGGGTCCAAAACAACAAAATCACTTAGATCAAATGCATCAAAGTTTTCATCTTAAGAGCTGCTAATATTTTGTTTTTAGAGATTTACTTTGTATGTAAGTTCACCTATGACAACAGTTACACCAAACAATCTAGACCAGACCTATCTTATCTGTTGGATAAGAAATAACCTGAGAGAGTAGGATGGGGTGTTTGCCTTGTATACAGACTAAACTGGGTTAAACTTCTGGCACTCCATATGTACCCCCTGCAACCTTTCTAGAAGCCCTGTCAGGAATGATCTCTAAGTGCAGAGCTAGGAATAACCCCTGAGCACTGGCAAGTGTGGCTCTCATAAAGAAAAACCCTTAGAGAGAAAAGGAATTCGGGTATGTCGGTTTTATGACTGAAATCTCCAGGCATGTTAGGACTTGGGATGAGCTACCTACGCCCCCACTTCCCAATACTCCTGGAAGCATTGGCAATCACCCCCATGAACCAACTCCAGCACCACCATGTAAGTTCTTCTGTGGGCCTTGCTTCAGAGATCCACAAATAAATCTCAAAAGAGATCAAAAGCTGCAGTTAATCTCAGACCTGCACAAGGCTGAACAGACTGGGGTAAGTGAGCTGGGCCCACCCAAGCAGAGCACCCAGCAGTCGTTCGCTCCCATACCCCCAGCTGGCTCCAGACTCAGGACGAACCCCACCAACATATAATCTGCTAAAAATTCGGGCATTCAGCCTTTGTGACTAAATCTCCAGGCTTTCGCAAGATCAGGATGGCGACCTCCCCGCACCTCCCATGCTTCTAGAAACCATGGCAGCCATGTCCACGTCTCAAAGCTGCCACCCAGTTAAAAAAGCTATGGTAGTCTTTCTTACTTTCCTGATAAAACTACTGAATGCCCTGAACAAACACAATGACCTCTTAGTCCCTGTACTGCAAACCATAATGCACAAAAGGAGAGAGGGAACGAGGGAGTAGGGGAGAGGTGCAGGGAGGGACGGATGAGGGATGCCTGTCACAGAGGCAGGTGGTGTGTATGTGCACGTGTGTGTGTTGGGGGATAGTGGGAAGGAAATGGGGGACACTGGTGGTGGGAGATGTGCACTGTTGGAGGAATGGGTGCTGAATCATTGTGGGAGGCAGACCTAATCATGAATAGTTTTGTAATGGTTTATCTCATGAATATTCAATGATTTTAAAAAGTTAAAGAAACCAACTGTCATCCAATTGGCTTAAGAGATACATATGGAACTTCTATAAAAGGGAAATAATCCCCACCATTAGGGAATTGAAAAATGCCTAAAAGAAAAAGAAAACGTGGAAGAGGAGAGTAATTGTGGGGACTCCCTGTACTCTGCCTCCCGCCCCACCCAGGTTTAGGATCTTTTCTCTTTATCTGCAGCCTGTTCATTTCAGAAAATTTTAAATTTAGGAATTGTAGTTTTCAGAGCTGAAGCAATAGTACAGTGGGTAGGGCATTTGCCTTGCACACAGCCAAGCTGGGTTCAATCCCCAGCATCCCATATGGTCCCAAGCACCCCCAGGGGTAATTACTCAGTGCAGATCCAAGTAACCTCTGTGGACTGCTGGGTGTGATCCAAAAAGCCAAAAAAGGAATTAGTTTTCAGTTCTAAGATTTAATTTGGTCCTTAAAAAAAAAAAAAAGACACCGTTACTCTGTTGAGATCTATGCACCCAACACATTTTTCATTCCTTACTGAACTCTGAGCTTGAATAAAAACAGACAGAAGATCTAAACAGTTCTCTAAAGAGAAAGGCAAAAGGATACTACAAAACAAAACACCCAACAGCTTATACACATTTATTATTAGGGAAACTACAATATGATCCTGCAATCTCACCTCACTTTTTGGTATAGATTTGGGAGCTACATCCAGCAATGGTTGGGTGGTTGTGGGATCATGCATGTGCAAGACTGAATGCAGGCCTCCTGCAGGCAAAGTGCAAACCCTTTGAGCTATCTTCTCTGTTTACACTGTTTTTTTTTTTCTTTTTGCTTTTTGGGTCACACCTGGCAATGCACAGGGGTTACTCCTGACTCTGCCTTCAGGGGACCATATGGGATGCTGAGAATTGAACGTGGGTCGGCTGCATGCAAGGCAAACACCCTACCCGCTATGCTATCGCTCCAGCCCCGTTTATACTCTTAAGATCTCCCAACACAGAACATAAAATCATTAACTGCAATAATTACAGACGTTTCTCAATATTAACTGCAGTATTATTTATAACAGGTATGACATGGAGACAATATGAATAGATGCCCAATGATAGCCCTGTAGCACTGTCCTCATGTTTTTCATCGATTTGCTCAAGCGGACACCAGTAATGTCTCCACTGTGAGACTTGGTTGTTACTGTTTTGGGCATATTGAATACACCACTGTAGCTTGCCAGTGTGGGCGGGATACTCTTGGTAGCTTGCCAGGCTCTCCAAGAGCGATGGAGGAATTGAATGCAGCTCACCTGCATGCAAGGCAAATGGCCTGCCCACTGTGCTATCGCTCCAGCCCAATGATATGCTCGGATAAGAAAGACGTGGTATTTATACACAATGGAATACTACTTAGTTATTAAAAAAAATAAAATAAAAACTTAAGGGGAAATATTCAAAGTGAAATTAAGGTAAAACATTAAAAATATTCCATGAATTTCACCTGTATGTGAACTTTAAGGAAACAAATTAATAGAAAACACAAATAAAAACAAACCAACGTATTTTACCATAGAATTAAGGTTTCCAGAGGGGAAGAAGGATGGCAACGAGGGTGTAATTGACAGTGCTTTAAAAAGTAAAGATAATTTACTGGCTCACAGTGCATGCCCTGAAATACTGCGGTCATGTAAGTGGCACCTGAGTTAGCTCTCAGGTGTCACTTACATTCGTCAGGCAGAGTTCCTGTGGGTCTGCTGCCTGCAACAGGTTGTGGCTAGGAGTATAATCCCTGTCAGCATGTGCAGTTCGTGGGCAAATCTACTGAGAGCAAAGTGTGTCACGTCCACAACCAAATTTGTTGTGTATCAGGGCTGGAGCAGTGGCACAGAGAGTAGGGCATTTGTCTTGCATGAGGCCAAGGTTTGATTCCCAGCGTCCCATATGGTCTCCCGAGCAGTGCATGAACCAGGAGTAACCCTTGTGCATTGCTGGGTTTGACCCAAAAAGAAAAAAAAATTGTTGTGTATCATCACAATAATATCGGGAAAGGAATGGAAAGGAAAAAATAAAGACAACTTGGAAGAATTATTCAATGGTTTCAAATGCTTGTCTAGTGAGGGAAGGTCAAATTCAATCTCTGGCGCTATCACATTTGACGTGTGGAATCCCTGTAGTTTTATCTTATCTGTGATCCCTAGTTTCCACAAATGATTTCTGCCGCACAACAACCAGGTGTATGTACACATGAACGCTGGCAAGCATGTGTATCACAGTGAATGCTGCAACCTGATGAGCAAACTTCAGGGAGTAACACAGTAAAATGTGTAAGCAGTAAAGCCTGTATATATACATCTGTATGACCAGACTGAACCCGAGCATTCCACATGCAAGGCAAGCATGTCAGTCCTTTGAGTATTTCTAAAATGTGTACTTTGAAAAGAGAGAGAATTTTGTGCTCGCTGATAATACACTAAATGTGTAATCCAGGATAAGCTCCTTCCCAACTTACCACTACTTTCACCGTTATATTTTCGACAATTTCTGAACATAGTCTTCATGTCATTAACAAATTCTTCCTTGGTACAGTATAAACCTCCATTCAGTTTCTTCTCCATGCTCGAAATATCCATGGGGATCTAAAATAGGACAAATTTAGTCATAATCTTCCAGGAGGACAAACATTTCATGGTTTCAGGCAAAAAACCATGTTGCTATGAGGCTCAAAAGCCTTCATAGCTTTTAAAGGAGTAAAAATGTCATGCATTTTTACAGATTTCAACAGGTATTAATTACCTTAATAATCTGATAATAGTTAGGGGCATAAGATTCATCCACAGGTTCCAAAAAAGGCCAGGAATCCTTGTGAGCCTTCACCACATCTAGAACTGAGAGCCAAAGAAGAGAGATTGATACACACTCACTGTGGAGTACACATGTCAGAGACACAATGACTGAGGACAGGAACTGACCTTTATACATGGCAGTGAAATCATCATCCAACTCGAAGCTGTGAATCATAAAATGAGAGATTAATACTGACTACTGTTCCTGAGCTTGCTTATTCGGTCACAGGCACAGGCATACATGATCAGTAGATTACACAAATATTTGGAGCAGTCCTGAATAGCTGCTTTCAGTTTGTTTCTGAGTTATACTCTGCAGTGCTTGTGGCTATTCCTGGCTCAGTGCTCAGGAGTGACTCCTGGTGGTGTTTGGGGGACAATATATGGTGCAGGGGATTCAAACTTGAAGGCAAGAGCCTTAACCCCTTGGACGATCTCTCTAGCCCCAACTATTATTACTTAATAGTCTATGATCACGGCATCACTGTCATCACTCTGTTCATCGATTTACTCGAGTGGGCGCCAGAGACATTACTGGTGCCCACTTGAAGAGTCTATAATAGTGACAATATTTCAGAAAATACTTAATGGAGTGAAAAGGATTAGTATAATTCTTCAAAGAGAGATGACTATTTTCTTGGTCTACACAATCCAGAACTATATTATTTCACATTTTTTAGATTTTATTTTGCTGTAAAGATTTTTATTTTGGTAACAAACAAAAAAAAACCCAAATGGAACAGCAACAAGAAACTCAGGGGTTGGGGATATGGCTGAGTGGCAGAGCCTTAAAGGTGTGAGATCCTGGGTTCTATCAACAGCATGCAAAGAAACCCCCCAAAAACAAAATATGGGGGCTTGAAGAGAGCACAATGACTAGAGTGGATGCCTTGTAAATGAAAGCCAAGAGTTTGAACCCTTACACTGCATAGTCCTGAGAGCTACCAGTGTAGCCCGAGTGATGCCTCATACCATTGGACCAGAGCACTGAATCTTCAGGTCCACACAGCTGGGCCAAGTATTACCTGAAATGTCCCACTCCCCATTCAAAAAAACGTTCAGTAGAATGAAAATCTCAAACACACTTATTGTCACATTGTTTCAGGACTGGGTACCTAGTGCAATGCCCGAGTGCCAATGTTAGTTATCATTAAATACTCACAGGTCTTTAGGCTTTCTTTCTTCCCGCATGGGGGAATTAGGGTCTAGATGGGAGAGCTCTGGGGGGAGCTCCTTCCCCTGAGAAAGTAGCCACGCCCTTTCTTCCCTGAGTTTTCTCCTCTTGGCTCGATCTATAAGGAACAACGTTAGGTACTGATTAGACATCTGTTAATCATTTTTTTTTTTTTTTTGCTTTTTGGGTCACACCTGGCAATGCACAGGGGTTACTCCTGGCTCTGCATTCAGGAATCACCCCTGGCGGTGCTCAGGGGACCATATGGGATGCTGGGAATCGAACCCGCGTCGGCCACGTGCATGGCAAACACCCTACCCACTGTGCTATTATTGTTCCAGCCCCCTGTTAATCATTTTAAGAGGAGAAATAAAGATCATCAAAGTAATATCATGATTACCATTATCTCTTTGATAACTGTAATTTTCTACTATACATTAGAAGAAAAAGAAGGGGGATCACACACACACAAAACTGAAGCAAACAGAAAACTACTTAAGGCCTTTTGCTTATTTTTCTTAAAAAAAAAAAAACAACAACCCAGCATCCTTTTTAGGCAACAGACAAATGTGTAGGATTTTGGTTTTAAGTTGATACATGTATCTATGCACAACAACAACATTCATCAATGTACCCCTTGCCACTGGCACTGACCAGAGATGGTAAAAATTGGCCAAACAGAAGGGAAAGCTGCCATCTGAAATTAGCAAGCATCTGCGAAGTAGGGATGATTTATTTTCTTTTTCTGACTTTTGGTCATCACCCAGACTTGCCATTTTACTACTAGCATGATAGAGCATTCACTACTGACTGGCAGGGAGGAAGATCTGGAGTTAAGAAGAGAGGCTGGGAGAGAAAGAACACTGGGGGCTAGAGAGACAAATAGGGTCTATTTGTTTTCCAATTTAAGATCGGGTGCTTGCCTTGATACAATCGATTCAAACCCTTATATGGTCCCCTGAGCCATGCCAGAAATAAGCCCTAAGTGCCACTGGCTGTGACAGCCTCTGCCCCCCCTCCCCCCCCCCCCCCCCACCAAATCAAATAACACAAAAACAGAATACTGGAGGACAGCAAGAGAGAGAGAGAAAAAAGATCCAGAACGGACATACTCCCTCCCAGGTTCCATGTCTTTTTCTCGGGTAGGGCACTTGCCTTGCACGTTGTGGACCAGGCTGACCCGGGTTCGATCCTCCGCCCCTCTTGGAGAGCCTGGCAAGCTACTGAGAGTATCTCGCCCGCACGGCAGAGCCTGGCAAGCTACCCATGATATATCCTGTATGCCAAACACAGTAACAACAAGTCTCACAATGGAGACGTTACTGGGCCTGCTCAAGCAAATCGATGAACAACGGGACAAGAGTGCTACAGTGCATATCACATGACCCTGAAAAATGGTGTTCCTTCTGTTAAGGTTCCTATGATTTCTAAGTTATTTTAATTTATTTGGAAAGCTAGAGAAATCTTATAACTACTTTAAACAATCAAAGGCACTCTGCCATCAACTTTATTTTTTAAACTTTTTTTTTTTCTGACTGAGGTGCTTCTCTCTCTCTGTGTTTTCTGGGTTACACCCAGTAATACCCAGGAATTACTCCTGTCTCTGTGCTCAGAAATTATTCCAGGCAGACTATGGGGACCATATGGGATGCCAGGGATTGGTCCCAGATTGGCTGCATGCAAGACAAAAGCCCTGCCTGCTACACTCTCTCTCCGGTTCCAATTCCAGTGATTTCTAATATTGGTAATGATGGTTTCCAGTGTGCCTAATTCCAATATCTCACTCTTAACCCTGCTCAAGGTCCCCAGTGCCCACTCCCCTAGCTCTCCTACCTCAAACAGAGGCAGGGTGGGGTGGGAGGGATACTGGGACCCGTGGTGGTGGAAAATGGGCACTGGTGGAGGGATGGGTACTTGGTCATTGTATAACTGAAACCCAAGCACAAAAATTTATAAGTCTACAACTGTACCTCATGGTGTTTCACTAATAAAAATTAAAAAAAAAAAGGTGTGTTGCTTTGGGACTTTTGTTGTTATTTTTCTGCAACTTTACTGTGTATCTTCCCATTCCCACAAATGATTATGTATCTACTGATCCCTTTCCTTCTGACCAACTTCACTCAGCATAATATTCTCTAGTTTCATCCATATTGCTTTGCCATCAGTTTAAGAAGAGAGGGAATGGGTTTGCTGCTCGAGTGGTGCAGCACTGAACTTGACCTCTGGCATGACCCCACCCCCAGCATCACACACTGACTTCCAAATAAAAATTCCTTTACTCTTCCCGCCCACTGCTCCAGTGCTGTGACCTTTCCCTGAGTCCCCGGAACCAAGCAAGCCTCTCAGCTTTTGAACTCTGGATAAGCCCCTGTGGATCCAAAAGGCCAACACTGGCTTCTTTTGTCATCTAGGTGAGTCAGGGGTTTTCCATCTTCCTTGCCCTGCTCGGTAACCTCTCCTCGAGTTTGCCGGACCAAGGGAGCCTCTGCCACCAGGTGCTCGAACTGAAAACACAGATAAACAGTGTCTGCATGACAACTCCACCCCATCCACCCTACCAAATCTAAGGGGTGCTGGTTTTGATATCTTGCCTCAAATACCACCATAACCCTCTATGCAAATAGGATTCTCAGATTTCACCTGCAGGACCCCTGAAATAGCATCTTAAGGACACACAAATTTTTAGATTAACATATTATAAGGAGTAACAGCTTGCTGAAAAAAAAACAAACCAAAACAAACCAAAAAACCAGATCTTTAAGGACAAAGGGGAAACAAAGGAATTCATGTGCTCTGGCAGAAAGGGACACTAGCTGCAGCAAATCATGGCACTCAAACAAAGTTTCAAGCTTCATCAATGAGAAACTTAAATCACTGCTCCATGGAAACAAAGCAGTAACTGGAAGAAAATTCAACCAACTCAAAGATGAACTGATCCAGGGCATCAAAGAATCCATAAAAACAGAACCAAATGAGTCAAAAGCCTCAACAGAACAGGGGTGGAAGGAAACTTCTTCAAGAGAGTAGTGGTTATCTAACCCACAGCCAGTATCATTCTTAATGGTCAAAAACTGAAGACATTCCACATTTTTTCCATATATAATTAGAAGTCCTGGCTACAGGATTCAGAAAAAAGAAATCAATCAATCAATCAATCAATCGGATCTTAAATTGGAAAACAAAGTCAAATAATCACTATTTGCAGAAGACACAATATACATAGAAGACCCTAAAGAAACAAAAAAGCTCTTAGAAACCAATAAACCAATAGAGCAGTGGCTGGCTACCAAGTCAATACACAAAAATTGGTCACATTCTTATATACAAAGAATAAATCAGAAAGACAATCAAGGAAACCATCCCCTTTAAAATAGTGTCCTAAAATATCAAGCATATAGGAATCAACTAAACAAAAGATGTGGGAGATCTATCCTATGATAATTAAGTCACATAAGAAAGAGATAGAAGACGACTTAAGGGAAAATATTCCATGCTCATGGACCAGAAGAATCAGTACTGTTAAAAAGACCATCCTACCTAATATATATATATATATACATATATATATACACACACACACACAATATGTTATATATTACTATATAACAATGTTAAAATAAAACAGTATACAATAATATTATATAATAATGAAACATTACAATTTAATAATAATATTATGCAACCCCCAACAAAATTCAGACATTTTTCAAGGACATAGAAAAGTCAACAATAAAGTTTGTATGAAATCAGGAGAGACCAGAGACAGTCAAAGCCACACTGAAAAATAAGAAATTGGGAGGTATTTCCTTACTTAATTTGGTATTGTATCATAGCTATAGTATTAAAACTGCACACATAAAGATAGGCTCTCTGATCAATGGCACAAAACAAATACCCAAGGACAAGAGTCGGTTTTTTTTTTCTCTTTGGTTTTTGGGCCACACTTGGCATTGTTCAGGGGTTACTCCTGGCTCTGCACTCAGGAATCGGTCCTGAGTGCTTTGGGGATCATATGGGATATGCTGGGGATAGAATCTGTGTTGGCTACATGCAAGGCAAGTGCCTATCTCTCTGGCCTAGGGCAGTTAATTTTTGATAAAGGACCTGAAAACACGAAATGGAGCAGAGATGGTCTCTTCAACAAATGGTGCTGGGAAATCTGGTTAACCGCGTGTAAGAATTTCAAGCTGGATCCTTATCTCATATTTTACACAAAAGTTAATTTAAAGTGGGTCAAAGACTGAGATCTGACCAGAAACAATTAAGTACACAATGAGGAAAATACAGACAGAACTTTGCAAGATTTGGACTTCAAAGTGTGTTTAATGATCTGATACTACTGGCAAAGGCAACAACAACAACAAATAAATGAGACTATATCAAATTAAAGGGCTTCTCTCCAGGGCTTCCCAGTGTTGGGATGGGTGAACTCCTCCCACCTTCTCGAACCTCCCTGTTTCTGGAGGTCCTAGTAGCGACACCCATGCTCCAAAGTTACTGCCATGCTCCAAATGGGCTGTCCAGTTAAATATTTATCATTCCATTATCCATTTAGTGGTAACAAGTAATACAAAATAAATTATTGTGGGCCTGACATGGGGGCAGACTGTAAGGGTGGTTGGGGAAATGGAGACAATGATGGAGGGAAGGAGACAGTGGTGGTGGGATTGGAGTTGGAATCTGAATGTCTGTAACAAATCATCACGAACGACTTCGTAAACCACAGTTTTTTCAAATGTGTGTGTGTGTATGTGTGTGTGTGTGTGTGTGTGTGTGTGTGTGTGTATATGTGTGTGGGGGGGGGGCAAAGAACTACTGGCAAAAGAACACTAAAAGTCAGCTAACTGAAAGGGAAAAAAAACATTCACATTCAACACATCAGATAAAGGGGTTGATAACAAGGATACATAAAGTACTCATAAAGATCAGCAAGGGGCTGGAGTGATAGCACAGCAGGTAGGGCGTTTGCCTTGCACGCGGCCAACCTGGGTTCGATTCCCAGCATCCCATACGGTCCCCCAAGCACCACCAGGAGTAATACCTGAGTGCGTGAACCGGAAGTAACCCTGTGCATCGCCGGGTATGACCCAAAAAGCAAAAGAATAAACAAAAAAAAAA